GATTCATTCACCCAGAGACTCCTGGGTGGGAGTAATAAGGGAGGAAATCAGGGAGCTGTGGAGGCTTATAAGTCACGTGTGGGGACTCGCCTCCCTTATGGGGACATAATGGAGGTCCCCATGAGGGAAATCATTCATTTTAGGGTGAAGACTTGGTTAGGGATAGGGTTAGGTTTGGGTTAGGGTAAGGGTTAGGCATGCATTGGTTATGGTTAAGGTTAGGATAAGTCTCCAGGAAATGCATGTAAGTCAATGTAATGTCCCCTGAAGTGATGTATACAGTGTGTGTGTGTATGTGTGTGTGTGGTGTGTGTGTGTGTGTGTGTGTGTGTGTGTGTGTGTGTGTGTGTGTGTGTGTGTGTGTGTGTGTGTGTGTGTGTGTGTGTGTGTGTGTGTGTGTGTGTGTGTGTGTGTGTGTGTGTGTGTACAGCATCAACATCTACGCCGTGACTCATCCCCATATATCACGCAAACACACCCCTGTGTCTTGGAATCATTGCTCTCATGTTTGCTTGTTTTCTTTTCCATCATCTTGGCCGCGGAGTCTGTCGAGGAGGCCAAACAGTCTGAATAAAAGATGCATCACTGACAGATTCACATGGCGGAGAAGTGAGGTAAACCCTCGGGTGAGTCACCATGCAACAGGAAAGTTGACACGTTAAAGCACTTTATCGACAAAGGTGTTGGATAATGTCATGACTCACAAACTGAGTGTGTTCAATGTAGAGGCCTATAAACTGAATGTCTTTATTTATCACTCAAGAACAGAGGCTTCTGTACATCGAAGACCAATTCATGAAAAGTGATCAATGCAATCAAGCTTTCCTTTATGTTTTCTGTCACAGGCGAATGTTTTAAAAAGTTGTACCTCTACTGTATGTATAAACACAAATACAACAACATAATGGAGATTAAAAAACACAAGCAGAATTGAATGATTTGACTCTTTCAGGTCTGTGTCTGTAGGGTGCCTACATTTAATTTGGGACGGAGGCATGTGGCGCAGTGGAATATTGCGTAGGTGTTTGGATCAGGGGAGCACAGGTTCAAACCCCACTGCATGTCGTTGAGTCCCTGGGCAAGACACATCACCCCAAAAAATGCTCCTGTGGGGATTGTTCACAGTATTGAGTATGTAAGTCGCTTTGGATAAAAGCGTGTAATTTGAACGTTTTTTTATTGCAAAGTATTTATTGGATTCCAGATTGTGTTATTATATGAAATAGAAAAAATGACTGCTGAGATTTATAAGAAGGTCAGAACATAGTTTAAAGAAAAAAGAATTTAATACAGAAAATGATAAGAGAAATAGATCTCTGTGTCTCTTAAGTTAGAATATTACTGTCATGCACCAGAGCGTTATGTAGGTTGAAAGAAAAAGATGAGTCATGAAATAGGAAATAAAATGAGTTTGGCATTTATATCATCACCTAAGAATGAGAGTAAGAACTACAAACTAAGATGCTTGTTGGAAGATGCTGAAATAATAAGAGGGAAAGTTATTAACGTATTGAATTTGTTGTCTTTACAATGTAGTGATTAAGTAGGCAGACTTAGTGCATACAGCCATGCTAGCTCTAAGCTAATACTGTCATCAGCATGCTAACAGTGACAATGCTAACATGCTAATGTTTTTTTCAAGTTTAGCATGTTAGCATGGTAACATTTGCTTAACACAAAACTGTAAGTTGGAAGTCACAAGTCACTGGAAGTCTTTGTTTATATGTGGAGTGCCATGTAATCCCAAGTGGCTTGGGACATTTCCTTTATGTAACACAGGAAGAAAATGTATTCAAATGCATTAAAACAAAGCCCTATGTATAAATAAATATATTGCAATGATCAAACACTAAGTACATACATTATTCTTGTGCTTGTGGATATTACAAAAGCAAAGCGTGATCACAGTTGCATATATTCATCTGTTGACACACACAAACACACACAGGTTTTTTTGGGATGTGAACAAATGCACACAAACATACTTTCAGCCAAAATCTGTTGCTATATTATGTGTGTTTTCAAGCCTAATTTGCAATATATGAGAAGCCTGTGTTTTTGTTCCCAGTGTGCGGTTCCCACAGGCTTCTGACATAGGCACAGTCAGCAGGTTGTGGTAACATGTACAAGCATGATGTTTGCTTTACTCATCATAAATCAAAACCAGTCAGTGTTCTTAGAAACCGTTAGTTCCCAGGCCTCAGAGGCCTCTTTGGGCTTTCAAAGCCGTGATAAAACCGTCACAAGATTTCAAAAACGCTTGGAAGCTCCATCCAAAATACAATACGGCACCAGATCTGAGAAGGAGCGGGTATTATTATATGGAAAGTGTATATCAAGTTAGAGCAGGTTATTTCCTCCTGAGATGCTCTGTAAGTTGACATTTGGTGAGTGACGGCAGTACATTTATTATTTTCCTAAAAGGCAAGAACAACATATCTTTATTGTAAGACTCAAAGCTCTAAAACATGCACACAAAAACAATGCTGGAAAGTACATCTACCCAAGTACTGTACTTAAGTACATTTTCGAGGTACTTGTTCTTTACATTACATTCCATTACATTACATTTAGCTGACGTTTTTATCCAAAGCGACTTACAATAATAAGTGCGTTTGACCAACAAAATACAAACTTGAAGAAAACAGAATCATATAAGTACACCAGGTTTCATAGAGCTAAAACATTTCAAGTGCTACTCAACAGGCTTTAGATAAGCCAGTCCTTTATTAGTATATAAGTGCTTTGTTTAGCTGAGTATTTCCATGTTATGCTACTTTATACTTCTACTGTACTGCAATTTGTAAGCAAATGCACTTTTTAGGCTGCAGGTTAATATTATTAATACAAAAGCCAAATCATCTAATGGATTTTGATGTTCTTCTATGAATTAAGATACCAGCAAGTGTAAAAAGTCATAAAAAACAGTTTACTGCCTATACACGCTAGGGGATTACATGAAATGATACCAATGTATAAATCATTTGGACAGTAAAATATAAATTCCTTACATCATTTGCTTTGATATAAGTGATGATTTCTTTGACTGTTACTTCAGACTTGATCATAACATGTATTATATCTAATATATAATGCATTGGAGACATTATATTGGGGATTTTGGTTCAACTTTATTGAATTGTGATCTGCTGTGCTAAAACAAGAGTGTAATCAATCATCACAAATCTAAACAGGCCTTTTCCTCACAGCTTTCATCATAAATGCACAAGTTTCAAAATAAAACTCCTTCAACAAGTGTTGAATCTTCTCAAATGTTATATTCATTATTACCACTTTATTATCACCTGCACTTCAATATTCTTCAACATTCTTTATTATTATTATTATCCTATTTTAAATTTCATCTAAATGTTTTGATATTTTAATAAAGTTTATTATTCATATTTGTATGTAGTATATTTAAAAGATGGTACCCCTGAATGACTTTCCTAATATCATCAACTGGTTAGAGAAAACCCTCATGCTGCATGTATAGAGCCTCTGGTGAACTACGTCCGTTAACCAGGGACAAATGTTGTAACAGCATTTCAATCTAATTGGCCAGAAAATGATTTAGAATAATATCTCAGTGAGTATCAGCTCAGTTTCTTACAGCTGAATATAATCCTAAGGACACTAAAATCACAAGTGAATTGAAATAAAACATAACACGCTTTACTCATCAAGTATATTTACCTTGCACAATGTGTTAACATGGCAATAGAGTAAGAAAAGTAGATTAGACATATTGAGCATTTGTCATGAAATTTACCACAAAACATTTTGTTTTACACAGAAATATTCATACTTTCTCCTCTGCTGGGTAATCCCCAATATATCAATATTCATACATGATTTCTCCACTGATAGATTTAGTTGGACTCAGGTGAGTGCTCAGAAACTGTGAGTCTTATTATTCATTATAAATATTCCCTATTTTTCATTTCCTGACTTTAGTGAAACTACGATCCAGTTACACACATTTAGCCTGCATGTCAATGTTTATTTTATGCCTACCAACAGATATGAGAATTAACACTTAGAGGGATGGTAAATGCTGACACTTATAACAAAAGCTATAGAATGTCTGACAACAGCTCTAACACACTTAGTCATGGCTAACAATAAAGCATGTAATCTAGTTACAGCTATTGCCAGGTGGACTTTTATTTTGAAAATGCACTTTACAAATGAAATCCCTGCAGTGTTTTAACTATTACTACTATTATAACTACTACTGACAAATAATATCTGCTTTGAAAAATCATTTCCTAGCGTTCCTCTGTATGCGCCGCTTTAACATGCGATGTTTGTGTGTTCTTAGTGTGTGGAGTTCATACAAAGTGTGGCTGCTCACGGTCACGGCTGGTGCATGATGGGAGCTGATGCGCCTTGCAGCCAGCGGTGGCCCTGTGGCTGAGCTCTGTGCTCTGTTGGTGGATGGTGGGGTTAATGGTTATCTGTACTGGGCGGGGGTAGCTGCCCAGGGTTTTAACGCGTTCTGTGTGTCGGAAAATTAGGATGACGCCTCTGCTTCAGAGCGGGAGCTGTCTGCCACTTTCCCAGCAGCCCCTGGGCCGCTGACAGGGAGATGGATTATATCTGCAGCCTGCACTGCTCCCCCAACACACACACAACACACACACACACACACACACACACACACACACACACACACACACACACACACACACACACACACACACACACACACACACACACACACACACACACACACACACACACACACACACACACACACACACACACACACACACACACACACACACACACACACTTACAGAATGTGTGAGTATTTGTCAAATACACCTCTCTTTGTTGCCTCTGGCTACAAATCCAATATCCTACATATCAAGAGAAATGAAACCCTCACATGTGAAAACAATGAAAATGTTTGGAGGGGAAATTGCAGGATTTCTTCATTATTTGCTCACACAGAATAGACCATTATAATTCTAAATAACCAAACACAGAACATATTCAATAGAGACCTTTATTGAAATCACAGCAATCACAAAATGAGAAACATATACAAATATGACATTTACTGTTAAGAGAAAATACATACATTCATGGCTTTTGGAAACTGCACCAACCAATTAAATTACAGGATATTTGAACAATAAACATACCTGCAGACATGTACTACTAACATTCCTCCACCAGCAGCAGATGCTGTTCAAACACAACAAACACTTCCACTGGCTCTGGGAAGGAGGCGGGAATTGAATGAGAAAATATGGGTGTATTACAGCAGGGTAAACGGGAGTGTGTGTGTGGGGGTGTAGTAAAAGAAGACCAACCCTTGCCTTCCTTACTTGTCTTGTCTCCATCACCCTCACCTGCTCTCCCGCTCTCTTCCTCTCTGCTGATGTTCCTCTGACTCAATCCACAGGCCATGTCACCTGAGCAACAGCCTGCATATAATGAGGAACTGGATAGGGGGGTTGGGGGGTTCTTGACTCTGCTCTGAACCCCCCCCCCCCCACACACACACACACACACACTCAATCTCCACTAATCCTCCCATCTTTCCCTTTCCTGTAAAAGGATTGTAGAACAACTAGAAGCAGAGGAGCAGGTTTTGGGAGTAGCAGATTACATGTAACGGAAAAATGTAATCGGGATTAAAAAAAAGAAGGTATTACAATGTGACAGAAAAACTGAAAAGAGCATATAGTGTTCGTTGTAAAAGGATCCGATTTTATTTATGTTATGTAAACTTTACTGTTCTGTAGGCTAATACTTTAAGTGTGAATCTATACTATAATTTTTGATAGCAAATATCTTGTTTTTTTCTTTTCTAAGGTCACATTGTTCTGTTGTCTTATATAATACACTTAAGTAAAAAAACATGTTATGGATATTTCCTTTCTCTTTTATTTATTTGGATTGCATCTGATATTAAGGTAATCTAAGAGAAATGGAAATTACATTACTTGATCTGAAAACTGAAACAGACTTTAATTAAATGTATTATGTCAACTGATTTCCCATAGCTGTATTAGGTTAGTTAAAAGCAAATATTACATTTAAATTTAATTAAAGTCAATGTTTCAGTTTTTTCACTGTACATTTTTTTACATGTAAATAGTCATTGTAACAGATTACATTGTTAAAGGTACCCTCCCAACCCTGGAGATGAGATGGTACAACGTAAGGGGAGAGTGGTGTTAGAGGAGAGGGGAGGGGAGGGGGGAGAGGGAGGGGGAGGGAGAGGGAGGGGGAGGGAGAGGGAGGGGGGAGAATAGCAGCACTGGTGGGGAGCGGGTGTTAAGGAGGAACATCCATCACTGTTTTAAGTGAGTGCAGTGGGACGGAGCAGAGTAAAAGGTCGTCTCTGCTCCCTCTGCTCAGCGGGCTCCGGGCAGCCTGCGGATCATGAGCAGGCCGTCTGTCTTTCACTGCAGCTGGAAGAGTGCACGCAAAACAGGGCGGTCGCACAACAAGAACGCATCACACCGGGACATCAGAATCACAAATCCTTTATTTGTGACAGAGGGGGACATTTACATTGTTACAGCAAAGGGACAGACCAGATCATCAGAATTCCTTTATTTGTCAGGGAACTGTGCCGTACTACAACAGCAAGAGTGCAGATTCATTCAAAAGAGTAGACTTACATATTATATTAAAAAAAGTAGGCACATGTTATTAGTAATATAAACACAATAAGTCACAAACAAATAACAGAAAATAACAGATCGTAGTAGCAGTGTAGTTAAAAAAAAAAGACCATATCAAAATATAGAGTAGCTGGTACTGTTTACAGATTGAAAAATACATTTAAAGAAAAATTAGAGCGTGAATTGCACAGGATATGTATTGCACATGATATTGCACACATTTTTATGAATGAAAGTCTAGACTAACATACCCAACACATCCATCCAAGGAGGCAGCATTATAAAAGTAAGCAGGTTTGGGGAGTAACAGATTACGTAATCAGGGTACAACAAAATGTAATCCCTTAAAGTTATATTCAAATAATTAGATGACTGTTATTTTTCCAAAAATTGGGATTACTAAATAACAGGATTACAATGTCACTAAAAAGTTCAAAAGAGCATCTAGCGTTTGTTGTAAAGGATCAGGTGTTATCTCTTCTCTTAGAGCTGTTCTGTTCTGTAGGATAATACTTTCAGTGTGAATCTATACGCCTACTGCCTGAATCTGCTTTATGCTTTTCACTTTCTTTGCTTCATTTGTTCTGTTTTTAATTCAGCAGGTTCATATGTTCATAAACTAGTGTGTGTGAGCTTAACTGTGTCTGTTAAACTAAAACGGAGCATTTTCTGTCAGCTCAGACTTTATTTCTGCTTTTTTAGTGTGTGCTGCCTGAATATGCTGAATGATAAATAAATAAGATCTCCCAGCAGAGGAAACTTTCATACTAAATAAAAAATAAATAAATAAATAAAACATCTTATTGATATTTATTTTCTCTTGTATTTATTTGCATTGCATACATCCAAAATTAACAGAATTACTTTCATTTTGTATACACAGATTAGGTTACTAATCCACAGACCGTGGAGGCTTTTAAAAAAGGCCTCAACACCCATCTGTTCAATAGAACCTTGTATCTTATTTATTACTACCCTATTATTTTTTTTATTGTTTGTTTTTACTGCTTTTTATTCATTCTACCGTGTTGTGTACTGTTTTTATTTTTGTTCCATGCTAAATGCTTGTAGCACTTCGGGATCTGAACTCAGATATGAAGTGCGTTATAAAATATTATTATTATTATTATTACTGATTACACATTTTACTACAGGTAACTATTAATTGTAACATAATTTTTTGAACATTTTGTTAAATAAGTTGTGACAAATCTTACCTTTGAGTGTGGAGAGAGACAGACAGGGCTCCTAAACAAGAGATAATGATAGCAATTTAGTTTATGTACTGAAGTGTTTCATATTAGAGAATACAGGAGGGATCACCATGTCACTGGAAACCATTATAGAAAAACTGTAGCAGAAGGTCTACGTGAAACATCAACTCTTTAGTGGTGATTCCTGTAAAACACACAGTGATCATTGAAGTGTCCACCTGCCGGGGCTGAGAGGACACACTTGAGGACTCAGCAGGAATGTGTGGTCATGACCCATTTGATGGACACAAAGCAAATCAGCAGAATGTGGCGAGGTGAGCTGAACATACTGTATGTGTGTGTGTGCTACAGCGACCACTAACATCTAGCCAACATGGTGTGAACAAAGAGGTTGAGTAAAGTGTTAATAATACTCGTAGACCAACAAAATGAAAACGGAGGAAATTGTATTTGGTCCCCCATCTGATTCTCACAAAGTCCCCCAGACTGAACAACTAAAGCAGGTAGTGTCATATAAATACTTGGGTGTAATGATCTGCTTTGATGGAAAGACCACATTAAGTATATCTACATTCATTCATTATTCTCCATGCCTGAGGTCTTTTAGGGAAAGTAGACACGTTTTTCTTCAGTTTTGTTTACATCTGTGATTATCAGTGTTCTACAATATTGCAATACTACAAGTATTTGTCAACTGCTGAAAAGCAAAAATGGCTACAGTAAATGAAAATCTGCTCAAAGGTTGTAGGTACACCCTTTGAAAAACTCTATAAATCAACATGCCATAATAATATACTGAGGCTTGCTAGCAACATTGACTCTGACCACTACCATGTCCTGAACAGAGAATATGACAAGTTGCTGTCAAATTAGAGACACAGGGTCCCACGATTTAATTAAGTTAGAGCATTTGTCAATCCTTAAATTAAAAGCAGAGCTGGGAAATATCCCAGGTCCTAAACATATTTACTTCCGTGACGGTAATGTGTCATGTTAAATGTCTGTTTCCTTGTTAATGTTGCAAATGGAGCTCCTGTGATGCAAGAAACCTTTTATGATAAAGCTCTATCATATGATAACAAGAGGCCATCAAATGTTTACAAAATAACTGACTTCAGCACTAATACAGCAGCAGTATGGAAGTAGACACTCTGATATCTGCCAGAGCCACTGCAGTCCAACTGTCCAGTGTCCGAGGGGTTAAAAGCATCTGTTCTGCCTGTGGCGACAATGCTACGCCGGCTATAGGTCACATTTAAGTCCCAGCCCCTGGACGGCCAGACAGCAAGACAGAGCGTAATTATCCCAGCCAGTTACAGTTCAACAACTCCATCAAGCTATTAGCCAGATACCAGGTTTCCCTGGCAACGCCTCCGAAGTGATTCACAGACCAGAGAGAGAGAGAAGGGGATATAAGACCAAACCTGGAGAGGACTGACCATCACACACACACCCACACACATGCATTAGGAAGGAGTTAGCATTTAGCTCTTCTGGGTTTCCTCATCTCGAAGTCAATGGTTTTCCTGAACGTGTTTTTGGTTAGATGAAATAAGGTCTGTGGTTAACACAAGCAGAAGAGATTTTGACATCAGTAAATACCTTACTGGTGCATGTCTGAAGTTTTTAAGTATCACAAAAAGGGCAGTATTAGTGACCAAACTAGACAAGTCATAATCACGCCGAACATTAGCCACCTTTAGCTTAGCGAAGGTAAACTGAAGTCATGTGACCATGCTGTTTGTTTATAGACTGATGTTATCTTTTTACTTCTGGTGATTGCATTTACGCTTACATTTTTTTTAAAAAGTTTTAATATTTAGCAATTATGTGTCATAAATGTGTGTTTGCCACATATCTTATTTTCCGCACTATTCTAAAATCGAATATAACATATCATTTATTTAGTTCAGGGAACCCTTGCTCTGCTAACTCCCAGGTCACCCTACAGAAAGACGTGATCCCTGCACCACTCGGTTCCAGTGGGTCGGCTGAGACCTCTGGCCCGCAGGCCGACAGTCAGCTCCTCTTGAGCTTTGTTGTTTTTAATCCTCCGCCCAGGTCTCCAGACTCCTCTGAACCCACAGGCCCACCGTGAACATCCTCAAAATCTCAGCGCGGCTCGACTGTCCCTTCATTAGACCCCCCCCCCCCCCCCCCCCCCCCCCCCACAGCACTTAATGTATCTGAAACAGTCGCCAGAGAATAAAAGACAAAGTTGTTTGCTTTTGATGCACGGGATAATTACATTAGATCAAGCACAATGTATACCTTTGATTTAATAATGAATCAATAATTGAATTAGCGTGTACAATATGTGCATGCATGCTTTGCTTAGGTGTGTGTGTGTTCAGGTGACTGTCTGGCCTCCTGGCGCAGTGTCTGGAAACTCACGTGCCCCACACCCCCTGCCCCCCCCCCCCCTCCATTCCACGCTGCTCGGCTATCAGGCATACCTGAAGCCCCCCCCCCCATATTCCCCTCCTCCCCCATCCTGCTGTGATCCACTGAACACTAAGCTGCTTCAGCAGACAACACAACATGACATTAATAATAAAACAAGCTAATTCAATAAAATCCATGCCATTCCCATGTTAGCTCCAGCCCAAATCCAGATTCAGAGGATCAGCGTTAATCTGTCCTCCTGACTTTATCTGGGATCGACGTGGCGGCGCGGTGTGTTACATGACCACCTCTGAACAATGGAGTGGAATCTCTCTCACACACACTCGGGTCCATCAGCTGGAGCCTTTGGTTTATCTACACCTATTCACGGTCTGAATCAATCTTTGCTGCAGGAACCTGACGTGTAGAAACCGCATCGTGAATTTGGTTTATTAAGCACAAGTGAGGATAAAACGTATCACTCCATATTTTATAATACAATAAGGTATCATTTTCATAAGGTCCCGGTAACAAAAAGTAAATCTGAAGGTCGGCTTGGTGATTAGTTTTTATAAACTTGTTTTTCTCGCCATTATTATTTTCATTTGTGTAAAATAATTTGAGTGGCTTTGTCTAAACATAGTACATAAATGGTTGTATTGAAAATACATCATAAGCTGCTATTACACCTGCTGTTAAGTCATTTGACCTTGACAACCACTTTCAGATTTTCTAAGAAAGCATCTTATTATATTGAAATTTGAATATTTGATGACACTTAAATAAAAAATGACAAGCGCCGCTGTTGTTTAAAACAAAGTCATTCTGATGTCAAATAAATGTACATTTAATACTCATTACCAACAAGTCACTAACTGTGCAGCTTGCAGGAGTTTCCTTGTTGGTTCCTTGTTGCATCAGACACAGTGTGAAGTGTGGATGGCACAGAAGAGATGAATTTAGTAGTTTCTAACTGAGTGTGACTTTGAAGAAAGTTGTTATTCACCGTTCAGCGGACTCACAAACTAGCCGGCAGCTGATGTTAACGGGGTGATATTTATTGGATCCCTGGCGGAAACATGCTGCTTTGTTACTGTTCGGGAAGCCGTGAGGATTCCATCAGCTACCGTGTTCCAGACTCTGTCAGACAGACCCTAATAAAACTGTCTGGCTGTTTCTGGGCAGCGCTCCGCTCAGGCTGTGCTGCGTCTGACTGCTCACTTGTCGCACTGTGCCTGGCTGTTTGGTATTCAGGGGGCTCCTTCAGCTGTTGCTGGGGCTCTGTGGCACAGGCACTGATTAGTTGGCATCAGCATTGTTCACTTAGAAACCAAATGGGGGGACGAGAATAACAACAAAAAACATAATTAGGGAGAGAGGGAGACTGGAGACATGGGGGGGGTGGGGGGGTGCAGAGGAGAGTATTCGAAAGAAAATCAATTGTTTTGAGCTGCATCTGTAATATGGGTCACTTTGCAGAAGTGGCACGCTGTCTTGGGAAAAACTGAAAGTTTAAAAACCAGGTCAGGCTGAAATCCCAGCATTGCATCACATAAGGAAACAGAACACTTCCCTTAAAGGGCCTCATTTATTTAATTTGACTCCTATAGTCATGTTATTATGGGGACAAGTGCAGTTTTTCATTTTCTATTCAATGTTCAATCTTGTCATTTTTACCGGCCTGTGGTGTTGAATTACAATTTCCTTGACATTACATTGCATTTAGCTGACGCTTTTATCCAAAGCGACTTACAATAAGTGCGTTCGATCAACAAGATACAACCTTGAAGAAAACAGAGTCATATAAGTACATCAGGTTTCATAGAGCCAAAACATTTCAAGTGCTACTCAACTTGACTTCACTTTAAATATTTATTTACAACATTGTGGCTGAAACATCTCATGACAATCAAACATTACAACTGAAATAAGTTAAGTGGAACTGATGATCACTTTAAAAGTGGTTTGATTTGTATTCAATATTAATAAATACATTTATGATTTGTCCTTTTTTCTTATTTTAACAATGCTTAATTTTCTGGAAATTATGTAAATGTCAATACTTTAAATAAAGAAAAATTAAGCTTGTAAATTCTAGTTTATATTTGGATTAAATAGTTTACAAAAATGTTATCAAATGATAATTCATGTTTGGCCATTTATACCTGGGGATCCCGTATATTTGTAAATGATAAGGTTAAAACTTTGAAACATTAATTTAGATAACTCTTCTGGGAAATTCTGAAAGATCAGATGCTTCATTTTTATATGGATTTTAAAAAACAATATGATTACTCACAATCATTTCTTGCACTTTCTGACAGTTTGCAGAGAAATGCTAAAACTCGTTAAGGAGTACTACTAAAATCTATTTTGTGTGAGTGTATGTGTGTGTGAGTATTAAAAAACACAAATGCGCAAGCTCTGGTCGGGGGTTTGAATTAAATGAACAGACTACTGAAAGCTGAATTTGTAAAGTATGTATCACAGTCTTTAGTTTAAAATGTGGAACAAGCGGCGGAGTGATGTAGAACACAAAGACTGTGTTGGTAATGGAGGATCAGATATATTGGTGGTCCCTGATGCTGACAGGGGTTCATCAGGCTGGGTGTGGTGGTCTAATCAGATCATCTGTAACTAGAATGGTAT